CGGTGAAACCACTGCGCTAAATCCCCAGCCCAACCTGGCCAATTTTTTGTATCACTTGGAAAGCTCATGTTTTTAAAATTTCTGTGACCTCTGCAATCTATTTTACAATTTACCTATGAGATTTTTTAAAATGTGTAAATGTTTGTAACTATGCACTCCTGGGTAATATTGTCATGAAAAAAAGGTTCCTTTTTGTTCCACATGTGGGAGACTGCAATATATCGATACTGCTCAACATCAATAATGCTCAAAGCCGGCTGTAAGCAGTTCAGGCTGGGAAGAGTTAACTCCACAATTGGCTTTTTCTATAGGTGAATCCCTCAAAAGCCTATGTGTCAAAGTCAGAGAAACTTGGTCACAAATTCCATTCCCACAACAAAAACCTTCTTTGTAGAAGGACAATGTTCTAATTACAACCATATATTTTGTCTATTCTGTTCCTAATTCGAGAATGCTTTGTCTTGTCATTTACAAGCCTTGCTCACATTGAGTTCTATACAATGTACACAATCACTTGTTCTCACCGGAAGTTCTGCCCTTACACGTAACTTGCCTTTAACCCAGATGATTACCAATAAAAATCAATGACTTGGACTCCCCAGTGCCTTTGTCCGTTGTACCTGTATTGCTTATTGTGGCTCCCCCCTTTCTGTCTGTCTTAGTTCTGTCTTTGAGATTGATTTCTCAGGCCTGTGTCATATACTGGCCAGGAGACTGGAGTCCACTGCAGAGGTTTCCGGTAACGTTTCAGGGGTCCCCAGTACCAACAGTGGCAGTGCAGGGGACTCTTCAGGTGGGTGAGGATGGAGGTGGGGCCTGGACTCTCCACTCTGATCCTCGTGATCTTGTGACCAGGACTTAGGCTGCCTTTAAGCCCTGACCTCCCTGGGCCTGCAGGTGACCAGTGGGAAACCACAGCAGGGTGAGCACTTGGCATCTGCCTCCAGTTTGCATCTGCCCTTTGCTCTGAGTCTTCTCTCCTGCATCAGCTTGGATCAGCATCTTCTGGGGGACAGAAACGACTCCCCAGTGCAAGGGGCCACTGGTAGATGTGTCAAAGCCCAGGCATCTGACAAAGCGCAGGTGCATGACAGACATTGTTATAATAATACGTCAGCAAGGAAGACCACGCGCGTATTACACAGCTATCCGAGGTCATGTGAGTTTTTTGCCTCAGTGTGCCTCAGAGAAGTGGATTTAAAAAAAGGACACACAGCTCTTGAGCTCAGCAGCTGCAGTTCCAACTCCCATGGTCTGATGCTGCCCTATGGTTTTAAAATTAAAGTTTGGTTCCTGCTTTCTGGTGATGTCTGCTCCACATGCCTTCTTTTCTTTGGGAACCTCGCCTGACCAGACCTCCTTTAAACCCACCAGCCCTGACACCCAGGGAACAGTAACCTCCTCATTGCTTTGGACAAAGCCCATCCTGACCAGTGTTGAAACAATGACCAACCAGACCTCATTTACATAGACAGGTGACTGTTCACACTGCTGCCCCCTGTCTGTATAATCTGGGAGCTCATGCCAGCACCTCTGAGGACAGGGCTGAGGACACTGGTCCATTTGTCTTCCCCTACAACTATACCGTTCAAAGTTCACTCCCTGCTTCTCGCCATTACTTTTATCGCTTGGTGTTTAAAGGATAGCCAGGCCTGATTCCACATGAATCTGGCAACTCGCCTGGGACTCTGGAAACAATTTCTTCAGGTCTCAGGAAACACAATTTCCAGTGGCACCTCTGGCTCCAGGCTGGCCCATTTGTTGAGGAAGTGTTCATCCCAAGGAGACCACCAGCCTCAGCCCTGCCTCAGGATGCCAGGCCTGCTGGGCTCCCCTAGCCTCCAGTCTTTCAGCTCCCTTGTTCTTCACCATTGCTACTGACAGCACAGTTTGCTTTCCCCCTCTCACTGAGCCCTCCTCAATTAGAAGAGCCACTTAAAAGAGGCCCACAAGCCTCTTCCTGCTCGAGTTTTTCCAGTGCAAGCTGCTCTGGAACGCAGACAATAGAGGACTCAAATTTGGCTCAGAATTGTGGTGATTCTCTATAATCTCTCAGGTTTAAGTATAACAATACCTGACCCTCAAAATATCCTGGGAGACTGTTCTCCCCTGAAGGGGAGGGCAGAGGCTCCAGGTCACACAGATGTGAGGGGGCAGAGGTCACCCAGGGCTCCAGTGCAATGGCACTCTGGGTCACTCTTCCTCCTGAGCCACTAAGAGCAGTTGGGCCCCGCAGAGCAGGAGCTAGAAGGAACCGCCTCCTCATGGGCAGCGCCCCAGGGTCAGTGCCTGGGGCAGGCAGCAGGGGCCTCCCCAAGACAGTCTTGTGTCCACCTGAGACCTTGACTGGGAGGCAGGCTGGGGAGGAAGTGAGCAGCTGGGCCGTGTCCCTAAGGAGAGGACTCGGAAGGGAGACCCACAGGCCCTGGTCAGAGATCCTTAGGTCCCTCAGGGGCTCCCCTTTCCCATTCACCACTATTCTGGGTAATGGCTCTGCCTTGGAGCTGCCACCTTGGTGCCACCTTGGAGATGCCACCTGTCCTGACCCCATGAGAGGAACCCACCAGAGAAGAGGAAGCCAGTACCTGGGGAGGAGACAGAGGCCATGGTATCAGCAGCAGCGTCTCTGGGAGGTTTCCTTACAGCTCCTCAGGCCATCCAGGCTGGAGGGGAGGAGGAGACAGATCATGAAGTGGAAGGGCAGCCACATGGGGTGAAGATGGTGAAGGGGAGTGGCTCGGGGCCAGGTCTCCTAGGGTTCCCTCCAGGATGGCAGTGAGGTCGAAACAGACTTCTCCCAGAGTGCTCTCTGTCCCCCAGGCTCTGTGGCTGCTATTTTAAAAAGGCAGCCGTCCTGCTCCTGCTCCAGCTCCCTCTGTCCGCACCCACCAGGCAGAGGCCTCGGGCCTCTGAGGGCACACAGAGGGGGCGTGGGATGAGGACGAAGCCATGTAGAAACCACAGAGCCCACACATAGAAGAACACACAGGAAGCCACATCCTGGTGAGTGCCTAGGGCCGGGAACACTCGTGTTCACTAGTGACGCTGGTGAGTGTTTATTGACAGTCTGCAATGTGCAGCCTCCTTCCGTGCACCTCAGTGAGTGTTCACACATTCGACGCAGTGAGAACATCTATGGCTCCCATTCTAAAGCGGGGGGGACCATCAGGAAGCTCAGGGAACTCACCCATATTTTCACAGAGCTGCAGGGGCCAGGACTTGAACTCGGCTCTCTGGTCCACATCCCATGTTTTGATGACTACACTCTGCTCCCTTAAATATGCAAAACATACACTCAAGTATGCATGTTTATTGTCAAGGACACTTCTCATTGCAAACCCTTATCCTGTACCCTGTGCCCATCTCCCTTCATGGTAAAATTACCAGTGCCCCTGTAGCGCCCAAGGTCTGCTCCTCCTTGCTTCAGTACTATCCCATGAGGACCTGCAGTCCTGCCAGCCCCTGGCCCTGCTGTGGCTGCACAGCGCCCTCTGCTGTCCTGGCCTAACTCTCGCACCTCACGTTTCTCTCCTTGATCTGAACAATGCAGAGCTTTCTCCTGTGTAAACTTTGCCTCCATTATGCACCCTTGCTCTCTGACACTGGCCACCATCTTAAGGTGCCACGCGAAGGTCCTCCCAATGCATAGGAGATGATGCTTCCATGCTCTTAGAATTCCCAGCTCCTAGAACCATGAGCTAAATAACATTAACTGTATAAATTACCTGCTCTCAGGTATCTTGGTACAGCCACGGAGGCACTCTGTCTTGGCTACAAAGAATGACTGCTACTTTGTTATCAACAACAGCTTTATCCTGGTTCTGGTCCCTTTCCTCTGCAGATAGGTTTGTTGAGATGCCCATACATAGAACTGCTCTTCCCTTTACATAGCCACAATCCAAGCCTCCTCCACCCAGCCAGCCTGAGATGCATCCACAATGGGTTTTTTCTAGCAACCCCTTCCTGAGGGCTGTGAAAGCACACTCCCTCCTCCTCCCTCAAGGAGTGCAGCAAACTCCACCTGTCCCACTGGCCATGGGAGTGACCAGTGTGTCCTCGGGCTGGAGGACACTGCCAGACACACATGTATGGCCTCTGCCATGTGAGAAGGAAACAATAAGCCCACGCATGTGTTAAGTGTTCCTGTCAGGCCCACCCGAGGTGGGGACAGCTCCCAGCAGGTCCTTTTTGACAGACCCTCCGAGCGAGACTCCTGCCCAAATGTGAGAGAGAAAACCAGAGCAGATGTACTGCCTGCAAGAACCCTGATAACAGGAAGTCAGCTACCTACCAACTTGTTCTTTCACACAGGCAAGGAAACCAATTCTCTGAAGAACCACAAGGCACCCGCTGTAGCTTCCTGTACCTGCCATCACCCTGCTACCCTCGCCCCATCCTGTTCACCAGCATACCCCTATCACCCAAAAGACCCCAAAATTTGCAACCCTCTGAGCTGACACCCACCCCCTACGTAAGCTTCCCTATAAACTGCACATGCCCTCCTTCCTAAGCCCAAAGGCCTTCTTGCCCTTGGCCCATCGGCACCCAGATGGCAATAAAGTCATAGCATGCTGCTTAGACTTTGCCTGCCTGGGTGGTCTCACTCAGGTTCCAGTCCAACCTTACGTTGGTGGCCCTTAGGGGGCGGTCTGAGCTCCTCTCCCTGGAGTGTCTGAGCTCCCTCTCAGGAAAGCTGCTGAGCACTTTGGGGCCACGCTCGAAATCCGACCTCTGGCCTCCTCCGGTCTCAGATCACTGCTAGTCCAGGTCTCCTCCTCAGGTCAGGTAATCGGCGCTTTTACGCAGCCTTGTCACTCCCCCTTGCCCTAGGTAAGGTCCCCCGGAATCTCACTCCCTCTCCTGCCACACGAGACGCCAGGGGAGGTCCGCCTACTCACCCTTGTCTTCTTGCCTTGGCACCTCCTTTCTTCCAGAGTGCTCTGGCTGACTAAGTCCAAATTCAAAGTGGGCTCCAAAGCCAGTACAGGGCACGCTCTCCGGAACCAGGTTCCCCTGACAGCCACTCGCGCTCTCGAGCTCTCTCTCTCTTTCCCTCGACTTTCTTTCCTTTTGCCAAAAGCCCCGCCCCCACTTCCCGGTGTCCGATGTCACTATGGCAACCTCCCTTCCTCTATTCCCCCTTCTTCTCCCCTTGCTTGTGTTTTCAAAAACCTCAAGCCTCTTCATCTCACTCCCGACCTGAAGCCAAAAACGTCTCATTTTCTCTTGTAATACGACCCCGACCACAATACAAATTACATAATAAATCACATTGGCCCAAAAGTGACGCTTTCAACTTCTGAATTCTCTGAGAACTAGACAATTACCGTCCCGGCAGGACAATGGTCAGAGGCTCGCCTAGGTGCAGGCGTTCCTCGCTATTCAGCTTCCCCTGTCTCTGAGCCTCGTAGGACCCCACTGAACCTCTCACCTCAGCTCCTCTGTCAGCTCCCTCCCCTCTTCCCCCCACTGCCTCTCCTCTCTGACCCCTGATCCTTCCTCCCTGGGTCTCCCTCGCCTGCCCCCCCACAACCTCGGCCTGTTCCCCACTGAACCTCAACAGCCCCCCCACTGTCCCTGCCTCCCTACCCGCTCTTGGGCTCTGCTCCAGTCCCCCTCCCGAGCCAGCTGCAGCCTCTGAAGCTGCTGGGCTTCCTTCAGGACCTCCTCCTGTAACGTCCCCTGCCCCGGCCCCTATTCCCTCCCCTTATCTGAGGCTTCCAACCCTCCTCCTTATCCTAACAAGCCCATTCCAACCCCCTCTCACACTTGATCTAAACTGCAGCTTGACGTTTCTTCCCTACCCTCTGCTCCTCAGTTTCTGCCTCAGCAGGTAATGGGCATAAAAAGCAATAGTCCAAATTCATGCTCCTTTTCTCGGTCTGATCTTTCTCAGATGAATCAATGTATGGGTTCCTTCTTCACAGAGATCACTAAATATGTTCAAATATTTCAATATCTCTCTCAGTCTTACGGCTTAACCTTACTCGTAGTGTCATCCTTACTTCTATATTCTCCCCAAGGAGAGAGAACAGCCAGATTTGGTCCCTAGCTCAAGCCTACTACAAAAACAGGTGGCTTGAGCCCACTTCAGAGGACAGAGCTGCAGCTATCCCCAGGCCAAGCCTCCATGGGATTTCAATCACATTGATGCACAGGGGCGAGGCCCTGCAAGGCAATGCCGAGACCACAGGGTAACTTGCCTGGTTAAGGGCCTAAAAAAGACAGCCCACAAATCAGTTAATTATCGCGAATTAAGTTACTCAAATTCGAGATAAAAATCCGGCCCAGTTTATGTCTCACGTGGCGTCCACTCTCAACAAGTTTACTTCTCTAAACCCTGAAAGTCCAGAAAGGCAACTTATTTTAGAAATACATTTTATTACCCATTCTTCCCCAGATATTTGTAAAAAGCTCCAAAAAATAAAATCGGCCCTCAGGTTCCCATCAAAAATTGATCAATCAAAGCATTTCGAGAATCCTGATATGGCCACCTGCCAGCAGTATATTTCTGACTTACAATTGCTCACATCCACTGTAAGAAACCCACCAAAAGGGCTGAAACCCAGGCAGGGGCCAAATAAGACCTCCAGGGATCCAAAAAAGGGGTCCAGGACCCTGCTTTAAGTGTCACCAGATTGGCCACTGGGCCAAAGACTGTGCCAACCCGGGACTCGCTCCCAAGCCATGCCCCACGTGCAAAAGCCTTCACTGGGAGGTAGGCTGTACTGGGGTGGCCAGGCCCATCCCAGGGGTCCCCTCCCAGGGCCGCTCAACAGGCCTCAGGTGCCCTCACCGTCCTGATCCATCGGACCTCGGGTGACTGACACACCTTGAAGTTCTCAGATGCCCCTTGGACCATCACAGCCACCAAAGTCCAGGTAAGTCTGGCCGTGGAAGGTAAGACTGTTTCATCTCTGATCAATACAGAGGCGACCCAGTTCACCCTCAGCTAACTTCAGCCTCAGTTACTGTTGTAAAAACTGACAGCACAATATCCAAGCCTCTCAAAACCCCTCTGCTCTTAGGCCAATTGAAAAATGCCATGTTTACTCGTTCCTTTCTAGTCATTCCCACCTGTCCAGTACTCCTCAGATGAGATAGTCTCCAAAGCTCTCTGGCAGCCTCACTATTCCAGGCTCTGCTCTGCACCCTGTCACCGTTCTTGTCACACCTACTGCTTCGCCTTCATCCCACCCCTATCTTTTCTCTCCCTCAACCCGCATGTACGGGACAGCTCAACCCACTCTGTCACTCAACATCACCTGCCCCTCCGCATCCCCCCGAAAAGACCACCCCTACCCTTCCTAGCCTCGATACCCCTACCTGATCCAGCCTCCAAGGACTAAAGCCCGTCATTACTCACCTTCTCGTGCATAACCTCCTGATTCCCACCAAGTCCCCATTCAACATCCCCATCCTCGCTGTCTGTAAGTCTGATCGACCACCCTGCTTGGTACAAGATCTCCAAGCCCTCCACCAAATCCTCCTCCCCATTCATCCTCTAGTCCCAAACCAAGATACGCTCCTCTCCTCTACGCCCTCAACCACCACCCATTACTCAGTCCTTGGCCTAGGTTTTCTTTACCATCACTCTACTCCCTGCCTCACAGCCCCTCTTTGCTTTCCTGTGGAAAGACACCCATCAATCACAGCAGCTTACCTGGACAGCACTGCCCCAAGGCTTTCAAGACAGCCCTCACTGTTCCCCCAAGCCCTCGCCTGTGATCTCCTTTCCTTTCACCCATTGCTTCCTGCGTATTATGATATATAGACAGTCTACTCCTCTGCAGCCCTTCTTCAGAGTCCTGTCACCAAGACAGCCTCTCCCTCCTACCACACCTAGAAGAGAGGGATATGGACCCGCTCCCAGACCCCCATGGTGGCCCCACTTCCAGGAGTGCCCACTAGAAATTGCAAGTATTCTCCCCCACCTCCGTTCGCCTTTCCCAAATTTCTAAAAAACAGATCCCCTTCCTAGCCTGCCAGTTCTTCCCTTCCCTACAACTAGGTCCTGTCCCTCATCCTTCTCAGGTGCATTTCCTGGAATCCCTTCTTCCCTGGGCAGAACATCTTCTTTCCCATCCCCAAATCAGCTCCCCAGATTCGGACTGGACTCACTGGAGTCCCCATCCCCAGATCGACTCACTGAAGATGGCCTACTACGGGCGGGAAGAACTGTCCTCTACTGCCCCTTACCCACTCCCCTCACACGAAACACGCCTACTCGCCCTTTTCCTCTTCCTCACCCTCTCCCCACCTCCCACCTAGACACCACTCCACTCACTCATATCCTGGCATTTCCTCTTCCTACTCACCTACATACGCCTGCCCCTTGCACTCGCCACTGGCTTAGCCTCCATTGCCCCACCTATCCGGAACAACACTCAGCAGTGCCTCCCGGTAGCCACATTGCTTCTCCAGGAAGGACTTAAGCTCATTCCTCTTTGTGCTCTTAAACATCACCAAGATGGATAGACACACCTGCCATACTCCAGGCAGATGCCCTCTCTGCCTTCTCCCTTCTCATCTTTGTCTCCTTCCTCATTGAAGTAATTATTACCCTGTTCCATGTCTTCTGGTCCCTCCTTGCACCCTCTGCCTTCTTAAACTGCTTCATCCTAAGCTCACTTTGGCTCCATCCTGAGTCCTGGCTCTGATTCTGCTCCAGGTCTCTCTGAGCCACTGGCAAAGGTGCTAGTGTGGAGCCAGAGTGACTCCATTTTGGAGCTGTCTCCTTTGTTCTCTCAAATTTGTGCTTATCCACTCAAAATTCCTAAGTTTATTACCCAGCCATCTGTGTCCTCAGGAAGGACATTCCGGACACACTACCTATAAGGTAAACAGTTAATGG